GGGTACCAAACGCTGAAGCTGACCGTCCACGCCAGCTGCAGCAGCAACAGCGGCAGCAGCAGCAGCAACAACAATAACGCAGCAAGGAGCCCACAAAAGCTTCCAGCAGCAGCAGCAGCAGCAAGAGCAGCACTAGCCACAGAAAAAGCAGCAGGGGCGCAAGCAACCGCCGCCACTGCAGCAACAAGCGCAGCAGTAACTACAGCAGCAGCAGCAGCAGCAGCACCCGCAGAATCAACAGCAGCAGCCGCAGCATCCCCAGCAGCAGCAGCACCCGCAGCATCAACAGCAGCACCCGCAGCATCAACAGCAGCAGCAGCACCCGCAGCATCCCCAGCAGCAGCAGCACTCGCAGCACCCGCAGCATCCCCAGCACCAGCAGCAGCATCCCCAGCAGCAGCAGCAGCAGCAGCATCCCCAGCAGCATCCCCAGCAGCAGCAGCAGCAGCAGCAGCATCCCCAGCAGCAGCATCCCCAGCAGCATCCCCAGCAGCGGCATCCCCAGCAGCATCCCCAGCAGCAGCATCCCCAGCAGCAGCATCCCCAGCAGCATCCCCAGCAGCAGCAGCAGCAGCAGCAGCAGCAGCAGCAGCAGCTACGGACGACGAAGATGCCGAGCGCGGGGGCTAGGGCCTCGGTGGCGACGGCGGGGAGGTCCAGCAGCAAAGGCTTGGGGCTGGCCTTTTTGACCCAGGCGAAGGAAATGGAAAATTGGCAAAGAAGAAATAAAAAAATAAAATGAATTCCACTTAATTGATTAAATCCCAAGGAGAACCCCACCGTCAGCCCCGTCAGCTGCTTCAGCCAAAACAGCACGTTCTTGCAGTCCATCTGGCCGCAGCAGCAGCAGCAGCGCAGCAGCAGCAGCAGCAGCAGCGCAGCAGCAGCAGCAGCAGCGCAGCAGCAGCAGCAGCAGAAGCGCCAGCAGCACAAGCAGCAGCAGCAGGAGAGACCCGCACAGCGCACACACACGGGGAGGGGGCTTTCCAAGGCCGATGCTGCTGCTGCTGCTGCTGCTGCTAACAAGACTTGTGCTGCAGCAGCAGGAACGGAAGCTGGCAAAGAAACGCTAAGCTGTGGTTGCAGCAGCAAGTCGTCAGGGAGTACCGCAGCAGCAGCAGAAGGAACGAACGACCAGCAGCAGCAACAATAGCAACAGCAGCAACAACAGCAACAGCAGCAACAGCAGCAGCAGCAGCAGAAGGGCTTGGCTTGCCTTGTCCCACTTGTGCTGCTGCACATTCAGAGCGCGGATCAGCAGCGGGGGCTGCTGGCGCTGCTGCCGCTTCTCTGGCGGAGTGGGCGCAGATCCCTTCTTCATCTTTGCTGCTGCTGCTGCTGCTGCTGTTGCTGCTGCTCCTGCTGCTGCTGCTGCTGTCCTCCTTGTAGGGACTTCTGCTTCAGCCTCTCTGTTTCTACTGAAGAGCACAGCCCCTCTTTCACACAGAAAGCGCCCGCTGCTGCTGCTGCTGTTACTGCTGCTGCTGCCGCTGCTGCTGCTGCTGCTGCTGCTGCCTTCGGCGCTCCTTTTGCTGCTGCTGTGCGCGAAGCCTTCGGAACGCCTCTGCTGCTGCTGGTGCATCTAAAGGATATACTATTGCTGCTGATGCTGTTGCTGCTAACGCTGCAGGTTCTGCTGCTGGTGTTCCAGCTCTTGCAGTTGCTGTAGCTGCTCGTTTGCTGCGCTGCAGAGGGCATGCAGAGCAGAGGCGGTGTCCGGCTGCTGCTGCTGATGATAATGCTCCTTCAAGTGTTTTCTTTTTTATTAATATTGCGTTTAATTTCAATAGAGACAAATAAACTGGCTTGCTGCTGCCCCGCTGCTGCTGGCAGGGGCGCAGACTCTGCTGCAATCCGCCCGTCGGCGGCAGTCCCATGGCAGCGGCTGCTGCTGCTGCTCGCGCAGCAGCAGCAGCAGCAACAGCAGCATCGATTCGGTCGATGAAGGCTTTCTGAAACTAACTTCGGTTGCTGCCCGTGGAATGCTCAACAGCAGAGAGAGCTGCTAGTCTAACAATTGCAGCAGCGGCAGCAGCAGCAGCGACCGCAGCAGCAGCAGCAGCAACGAAGTCTTCTGGGGTCTGAATACCAGACACAAAGAGATACATCTCAGCTCCAGAAGAGCACGAGCTGCTGCTGTTGTGTCTCTGCGTGCACGCCGATTGCGCCTCTTACTCCCAGCAGCAGCAGCAGCGACAGCAGCAGCCACACACTAAGCCTGCAGCAGCAGCAGCAGCAGCGAGTTGGGTGGCGTGCTGCTGCAGTTGTTATTACCTGTGAGTCCCCTTAGGCGCCTGTAGGATCCCAGTGTACTGAAGGCAACTATTGCAATGACAGCTGCTGCTGCAGCAAGTTCAGCAACTGCAGCAGCAGCAGCAGCAGCAGAAGCAGCAGCTGCTGCCCCAATGTGGTGCTCCAGAGCCCTTTCGAAGCCATGAAGCCTGGGGCTGCCCTAGACTGCGTCGCTGCTGCTGCTGCAGCAGGGCAGCAGCAGCAGCTGCAGTACGTGCAACGAGCTGCTGCTCTGCTGCACCAGCAGGACTGTTTGCTGCTGCTCAGCAGAGGCCTCGACGCCGACGGGGTGCTGCTGCAGCTCCTGTCGCTGCTGCAGCAGAGAGACAAAAGCAAAAGTGGCAGCAGCAACAACGGCAGCAGCAGCAGCAGCGGCAGCTCCGAGCACCAGCAGGAGCAGCAGGAGCAGCAGCAAAACGGCGGCGGGGGCATCTTCAGCTCTGTATTCTCTGACGAACAAGAGGAATGTGAGCAGCAGCAGCAGCAACAGCAGCAGCAGCAGCAGCAGCAGCAGCAGCAGCTGAGGCGGCCCTTATATAGCGCAGCCTGGCCGCGGCTGGTGCTGGTGCTGGGGCTTGCTGCTGCAGAGCATGCAGCAGTGCATGCGCTGCAGCAGCGGCAGCACCGTGAGCAGCGCCGTTTGCTGCAGGCTGCAGCAGCTGCTGCTGAGGTGCGTGCCCGCAGCAGCAGCACTGCAGCAGCAGCAGAAGCCGCAGCAGAAGAGCATGCAGCGGCGCTGGCAGCCCTGGTTGAGCTGGAGAGGCAGCAGCGCGCAGAGGAGCTGCGCCTCGCCTGCAGCAGCAGCAGCAGCAGCAACGCAGCAGCAGCAGCAGTCACCACGTGGCAGCAGCGGCAGCAAATGTACATCGGCGGCGGCTGCTTCTGCTGCCCTGCTGCTGTTGCTGCTTCCGACCTTCTCACTGGCCGTTTGCCTCCAGAGGTTGTTGACTGCATTGTCTTTGTACGTGCCGAACGGTAAGCAGCAGCAGCAGCAGCAGCAGCAGCAGCAGCAGCAGCAGCAAAGCAGAGGCTAGCGGGGTTTGCGCGGCTGCGCAGCAGCAGGTCGCGCAGCAGCAGCACATACGGCACCGGCAGGCTGCTGCTGCTGGCGTTGGTGCTGCTGTTGCTGCTGCTGCTGCTGGTAGATAAACAGGTTCACAGATGCTGCAGCTGATGTTACAGCATCTGCTGCAGCTGGCGCTGCAGCTGGTGCGTATGGGCGTTGCTGTTTGCTGCTGCTGCTGCTGCTGCTGTGTCTTGCTGCTGCAGCATCAGCGGAGGGTTTCATGAGGCCTTCGTCTGTCGGGTGTACAGACAGCGCAACAGAGTGGGAGGCCTGAAGGCGATAAGTGATAGGCCGCACCATTTTGCTGCCAGCAGCAGCAGCAGCAGCTGCAGCAGCAGCAGCTGCAACCTCACGCAGACTCTCAAGCTGCTGCAGTTAAAAAAGGTCCAGCGCATGAGCCGCATGCATAAGGATGTAACAGAAAGCTTAGAGGTACAGCAGCAGAAGCAGCAGCAGCAACAGAACAATCTATAGGGCGTGCAGCAGCAGCAGCAGCAGCTGCTGCTGCTGCTTCTGCTGCTGGTTTCGCAAGTCTCCATCTGATACACGGATGAGACCGCCGTAAACGTCGCAGCAACTGCAGCAGCAGCAGCAGCAGCAAAGTGCATGCAGTGTGTCCTGCTGCTGCGCTGCAGGGAGCCTCGCAGCCGCAGACTAGCGAAATTTGCCTGCCGCCGTCTTCGCTGCAGCTAGAAATTCAGCAAGCTTTGCTGCTGCTGCTGCAGCGGGGGCTGCAGCAGCTAAAGAAGTGCCGCCCCGGGCTGCTGCAGGACTGGGAGGTTTCTTGTCTTTTCAGGGGTCCGGCGCCTCCCCCACTGCCTGCTGAAGACCAGCAGCAGCAGCAGCAGCAGCAGCAGCAGCAGCTGCAGCATAGGGTCCCGGTGGGGGGCTCTCTGAGAAGAGCCCTCAACTCCGTGTGGCACCAGCTAGACCCAAAGACAAAGGCGCTTGTGGCAGTAAGCCGCTGCTCTGGCAGTTTCTGCTGCTGCTGCTGCTGCCACTGCTGCTGCTGCTGCTGCTGCTGCTATTGTGGCTGCCGCCTAAGCGCTTTACGTGCGCCGCAGCGTTTGCTGGCGTCAGCCCCGACTCCGCGTGACTGCTGCTATCGCTGCTGCTGCTGCTGCTGCTGCTGTGGCCTACAGTGCTACTAGGGACCCCACGGCAGGGGTGGCCTTCTTGCCTACAGCACTGCTGCTGCTGCTGCCGCTGCTGCTGCTGCTGCTGCAGGACTTGGGTGAGCTGCGGCGGCTGGTGTTTCTGCTGTGGCGGCTGAATTGCGTTTCTTTTCTTTCTTATTTGGAGTCTCTCCTCAGCAGCAAAACTATTGACGAGGCCTGGGGCCACACCACGGAGCTGCAGGTCATTTTAAGGAGAGCTAGGCAGAGGTCCTTTGCTGCTGCTGCTGCTGCTGCTAGTATTGCTGCTGCTGCTGCTGCTTAGTGCTGCTGCTGCTTAGTGCTGCTGCTGCTTAGTGCTGCTGCTGCTTGGCTTGCTGCGAGCTGTTACCACTGTTGTTTCGATTGTGAGCGGCACTGGCAGGCGCACGGGTGTGCATGCTTGCGTCAGTGCTGCTGCTGCTGCTGCTGCTGCTGCTGCAACACTAGTAGCAGCGAAACCATGAGCGGCGGCGAATTGCTGCGGCTGGAGCTGCTGCAATGCAGCGCCTGGCTTCCTCTTCACAGCCACCTCTATTTACCTGCCATTTTCTCGCTAAGCTGAGTTAGTTGCTTTACCTGCTGCTGCTGCTGCTGCTGCTGCTCCTGCAGGGTTTACACGACAAAGCGGGTCCCTGTAAGAGGTTCTGCTGCTGGTGGAGCAGCAACAGCAGGAGCTCCTGCTGCTGCTGCTGCCAGCTTCTCAGCAGGTTTCCCATATGGGGAAAACGGCAGCGCAGCGAAACAGCAGCGGACAGATACTGCAGCAACGCCGGGACTCGGAGCAGCAGCAGCAGCAGCAGGACGGCAGCAGTATGAAAGGAAAGCTGTACTCCACTTAGAGCCTCCTGCTGCTCTCGAGTGGCTGCAGCAATTCGTGTGGAATTGCCAAGTTGATGACGACATATACCAGGCGCTGCTGCGAGAGCAGCGGCGCGCAGCCCCTGCTGCTTCTGCTGCTGCTGCTGCTGCTGCTTCTGTGGCTGATGGGAACCAGCAGCAGCAGCAGCAAGGAAGTGACCGGACTGACGGGGGCAGCTCAGAAGCCGAGATGCCGGGCTCTATCTACATCCGCAGCAGCGAGAGCAGCAGCAGCAGCAAGAGCAGCAACACCGACAGCGCAAGCAGCTCTGACAGCAGCGACAGCAGCAGCAGCAGCAGCAGCACATTGCGAAACGCCACATGCGCCGAAGAGCAGCAACCTGATGAGGGAGCGCCATCGGCGGCGGCTGCCGACGGGCCAGCAGCAGCAGCAGCAGCAGCAGCAGGTAAAGCAACTAACTCAGCTTAGCGAGAAAATGGCAGGTAAATAGAGGTGGCTGTGAAGAGGAAGCCAGGCGCTGCATTGCAGCAGCTCCAGCCGCAGCAATTCGCCGCCGCTCATGGTTTCGCTGCTACTAGTGTTGCAGCAGCAGCAGCAGCAGCAGCAGC